ATAATCAAGGGGGGTATTCTTTGAGATACGAAATCATGAGTAAATTCATGATCCCTGAGTAGACAAACAGTTGGTATAGCAGGTCGCATTGGGCATTTATGCTTGGGTACGTTAAAGCAATAAGTTGTAAGAATTTTGTACACATGGGTGTAAAAATTATATAACAGTTCACATAAATAAAGGCAGGATCGCTTAAAAAAAAAAAAAAGATATAATCAATTAAATTAAATTTAATAAAATTTTTATTTCGTAATATTTAATTTGTTTTGCTAAATTTGATATTCAAAAAATTTCAAAATATTTATAATATTACATAAGATTCATAATTTTTAGTATAATTCAAACTCTTTTTGAGTTTAGTCAAATTAAACTATTTTATTTAATCATTTTTTTATTTTTTTAAATTACGCCGATTATTTCCACTAACTTTCAAAATTATTCAAATTATTTTGAAATGTATTTTGAAATATTTCAATATTACTTTCGTAATATTTCGAAATAAATTCCGTATTATTTCATAATTAAAAATTCTGAAATATTCCGCATCATTTATAATTATTGCAAAATATTTTGGGCTGTAATAAATTTCATAAGTTTTTGTTTATATATTTTGCTGATGTATATACTACCTGCTGATAGTCTTAAAGTTTATCACTCACTACAATAAATAGCACTTGTTATTTAGAAGTAGTCTTATACATTACTTGCTAACAAGTTTAGAGTTTATCACTTACTGAAAAGAATAAGTACTATTCTCTTAGCTTTTAAGTAAAAAGAATAGATTGCTATTGTATTTAATAAAAAATATATATTCTTTTATCAAACAAAACAAGTAGTGTTATCTTTTTTCTCTACCTCCTTGTTGCTCTTTCAAAATTTCTCACAAAAGTAGGCAAAAACAGCTTACCTCTCCAAAAGATCAGCATTGTTTATACTTTCTAAATTTGAACAGCTCTGGCAGGCTGCAATCACATATCTGGTTTGTTTTGTTTATGAGCCATGCTGCTTCATGTAATACCAAGTTTGGCTACTTATATTGTTTAAGAGTTTGGATAATCTAGTCAGAAAATTTAAATGATAAGACAAAGTTTTATAGTAGAAATATACAAATATTGTATTTGTTATATAATTTTTTTCAGTTTAGCATAAGTAATAGTAGTGCTAAAAAACAGAATTTTTTGCTATCTTTTTTGTTTTCTTTTTTGTTATTTTCTTCTTTATATTTCCTTTTATATTCGTTTTTTTTTTTTATTCTTCTTTGTTTTTTTTTCACTTAAAGCTAGCAATAAGCTTTCTATAATTCTTAGTACTGTAAAACTCGGAAAATAAGCACATATGGTAAATAAGCACCATTATAACAAAAATTTATGTTCTATAAATAAGCACCATTAAATAAACTTTGAAATTGCATTATCCGGTGATCATAAGATTGATCAATCATGTTATCTGTTTTCAAATAACCAGTGAATAAGCACCTCTATTAATTAAAAAAATGGTGCTTATTTTCAGAGGTTTACAGTAATTGTTATAGTTATGTCAAGAAGTTATTTAGTAAGTTAGATGCTAGAGATGAGTAAATTATTGCTGCAGCAGATCACACTTGAGCACCATTACGAGCAGCCAAGTAAGTCTTTATTGCAAAAGTAGAAGGGTTGAAGGCATTTAGTTAATTACAGGCTTTTTGTTCAGACTCTTTGTATATTATTTTATATCTCACTTCTAGAGACAATAAAGGCAGAACTGCCAAATTTTTTAAAAAAAAAAAAAAAAAAAAAATTGTATATTTAGTAACTATTATATTTAATAACCAATAAAATACAACTAATTATACTGTAACTTTTAAATACTATATATACTGTAATTTGCCCAAAGGTTTTATACTAGCTATTATGTCCATAATCTAATTAGAAAGTTATTGAATTTATTTAAACAGCTTGCTTTAATTACTCTACTAATTATATTTACTATAAGCAATTTTTTATTATTAATAATTTAAACACATAATACAATATATATATATATTAAAAAAATCAAAATTTAAACTATAATAACAATATAATAATAATACAGTATAAACTATATAAGTATTATATACTGTATTTATATATGATTTTTTATATGAATATCCGATTTTTTTCCATATTGTATATACTGTATGAAATTAAAAAGGCGTCAGGTTAGTAATTGATTGGCCGATTCTCGGCCAACCAAATTTTAAATCTAACATGTGATCAGAAAAATATTAGTAATAACTACGTATAAGTTACAAGTACGTACAGCACATATAAATATCATAACTCTAAGCAAATCTACACGCTGTGTTGTATATTGATTGAATTTCTCGGACTTCGTTCTATCTTAGAACATAAATTATCATTTACAGGATGCGGAAATACTGTACATTTTAGGAAGCGCACCCACAAAAAATTCTGTAAAAATAAAGTCAATAAAACTGCGTTATATTTATTTGGATAATTATAGTTCTTAATAGTAAAATTTCACGAGAACATTTTGTAAGTGGTTCGCTTCGATTTTTTACGTAGCGTCTGATCTTGAATGGTCAAAATTACGGGAGCGAACTTTGTGGGTGCTAGGGGCAGGGCAAAAAATACCTATTCATTTTCCGGCCATTCAAAAATATCGTTATTGATTCAAGTTATTTCTATTATTTTAATGTATCAAGAAAGACACTTGAAACAATGTGCTGCTCCTGCTAAGGGGTTGTAGAAATACCAGTTTTCCATAACAACATTCTATTAAAAATCTAGAATTACGTAGCACAAGTTTCAGTTTATTTTTACTAACACTATTTTTTTCATTGTTGTACTGTACAACTTCTACGTAGCTAAAATTGACAATTACTATATATTGCTTATCCAGATAAAAATGATGGGCAAATAAACGGGAGTGTGTTTTTCGCCAAGAGCGGAAATTCAAAAACATATTTAAGGGTAAGGTGTGACTAACAGAAACTACATAACAAATTGACTATCGCTATGATAAAAGTCATACATTATTCGATCGTTGCTGTGAGAACTGAATGCTTATGTAAACTTCAGCTTGAACTTGCATTGACGATGTTTATACCCTGATCAGGATAGCATACAAATTGAAATTATACGCATGTATTTGCAGCTTTCTTTTTTTTACGTAAAAAAGAAAAAAAAACACTAAGGCATACGAAATTCAATCATCAATATAGTTTTAATTTTTATTAATTGATGCAGTAATGATAACCTATATATAGCTAGGTTTAATGTTCAACAAATCAAATTAAGTGCCAATATCATCACAGTATACATTAATGTAATTCAACGCCGGTACGGAGCGAATATCAGTAACTTTACGTGAAAGAAAAGATTGATACCTTATTTAACATCGATAACAATGATAACATTCACACAAAAATTGAAGGTCATGAGGAATTAGAATATACACCCAAATCAATTGAGTTTAAAGCATTATATAGAATGAGAATAATGTTTTGCTAAGTCAGGCTACTTTTATGATGGAAGCTTCGAATAGAATAATGTATTATTAGTTCAACATCAAAAGGATGTTACTTCTTGATTGGAGAGTATGCCCAGAAATTCATACTAAGCTACCATATTCATGGATCAATATTTTTCATATTACAAACCTTAACAAAATACTGTAGATGCTAAAGTTTTTGTTATAATGTACTCATTAAGAAAATCTATCATTAAATTACCAGGTTATCCGGATAAATTATCAAAGTTTCGGGTTGTCGTATAAAGCAATTTCACATATCTGCTTTGCTCATGCCTCAAAAATACGTAATAATAACGTCCAAACGATGAATAATGAACGAACTCAACGAATAAGAATGATAAATACTTTTAATTTCCGTTATTTATACATAAGGCTGATGGAATCCATATGTGATACGTATAACTGTTTTTTATCGTTATGTGAATTACAATAAAGGAAATTATAGTTATGCTTCTCAACTATAAGATCCAGATTGAGTAATGCTAAATTCGTGTAGTCAAACTGGATTTCGGTAATTCTAAATACGTGTAATCAAACCGGATTTCGGTAATACTAAATACGTGAAGTTGCGCCGTGTTTGATTAAACGAGAAAATTTTATGTCGACTGGACAATTAATTATTTCATGACATTTTCCGAAAAAAAATAACAATATCCGAATTTGTTCTTTTGCGTTAGAAAATGTATTCTTTAATCGATTTAACAATAAAGGAAACAATAAAGAATAAACAAGTGTGTTACAATAATCAGGTGATAAGTAGCGTTGCGTAACCTGACTTTACTTATTCGTATGTACTATTTATGGATATTTGATTCAAACACTATGTAGAGGCTTTTATATAAGCAAACAAAAGAACAGGAACGGAAAAACCTACAGCAATTCTCGGCGATTTCCTTTTTCCATATATTATCGTTGATTATTTAAGGATATTTTTAATACTGTTTTTTTTTTCATTTTCTTGGTTAGCAATCACCACTGTTTTTTGTCATTTGGAAACTAGTATCACCCCACGAGGCAAAAAAATCCTGGCCTTCATCTTGTCATTATATCTGGCGAACATTCTATGAGTATTCTTCTATGTATTCCTTTTTAGCACATCAGTGGCCCCGCATCTTATCGTAATTTTCTATATGTATGCTGCAAGTCTTAATAAAGTTCGCTTGCTTAATTGCCTTTGGGTTTTTTCTCGTTGTTTTTTTGCCATTCAATTAACCGAACGTTATCAGCAAAATATTACCACATTTTGATAACCGTTCTAATTTTTTTTTTCTTTTTTTTTTTTCTGGAAAAAAAAAAAAAAATTCTCTTCTATAGTTTTGTCTTACATATATACACATACACGATATATACATAATCTACACAACCTTTTCAAATAAATAAAAAAAATAGTCTTTAAATTTTCTTTAAATTACTTTAAATTTCAATTTCTCATTCTTCCATCTGGATTGCTCTGGCTTCGGTTGTTAAGAGTAACTTAAAAACCTATTATGGATTCCAACAGTAGTAACGGCAACACGGACGCTAGCGTCGATAACTCTCAGAGAGATAAAAATAGCAGTAATTCGAGTGACCATTATGCTCCAAAATCTGAACCGTCGGCTTCTTCTACTACTCTTCCAACTTCTTCTCCAACTTCTCCTACCATAGCTCCTCTGGTTACCTCTCCGCCAAATGAGCAGTCACTTACTTCTGCCCCAGTTCTTACTTCTTCTCCACCCTCTACCTTACAGAGTGCTCCGCCGTCTAATTCTACTGCAAATAATTCAAATAATTTGACGACAACCACAGTTGCAACACACAAAACGCAGGCCGCCTTTGTGAACAAATTGTACACGTAAGTATTCCTTTACTCACCTTCCCGGAAAATTTCCCGCAAAGATCTGACTGACTCGTCATATGTATTGTACGCCGTTATGAGATCTCGGTATTAATGGATTCTCTGACATTAAGTGTAATAATTTACCTTCATCCAACAATTTCAATCTACATGATTATTATGATCAATTTTAATTGACTCTCATAAGAAAAATTATTTATTTTCTCTGATTTTTATTTTTTTTATTTTTATGTCAGAATGGTAGAAGATCAGTCAATACAGCATTTGATTTCGTGGGCTCCTTCTGGCGACGTTTTTAGCGTATCTAATCCTACCGAATTTTCAAAAACGGTCTTGCCACAATATTTTAAACATAATAATTGGCAAAGTTTTGTGAGACAATTAAACAGTGAGTTTTACAACCTTCTTGATTTGTAAATGATTACTCAACCTTATCAAAAATTTATTCGTTCGAACTTTGAATTTATTAGTGTATGGATTTCATAAAGGTAATTATTTCATATTATTCATTTAAAGTTTCCAAAATTTTCAACCCTTATTTATTATTATTATTATTATTATTATCTATTTATTTATCAAAGTGAATGATATGTTTCATGCGAACCCAACAAGTGAAAGTCAAGCATGGGAATTCAAACATCCTGAATTTCGTCGAGGGCAGCTTGCTGCCTTACAGAATATTAAACGCAAGAGTTCAAAACATCAATCTATTCCCATGAGTTCTGTGAAAGGAGGTTTATCTGGTGCAGATACTGGGATGGGCGTGCCTTTAGACATCAATGCTGATATACGTGATGAAAGAATTGAATGTTTGACAAATCAAATGTCAGATATTACGGAAAGAATGCGTCAAATGAATGAAAATTTCAGTCTTCTTTATGCTGAAACTGTTTCGTGTCGAATGCAACAGTCAAAGCATGAAAAGGTATCGTGTTACCTTCTTTTTATACGTTTTAACCTTTATATAATATATATATATTTATTAAATTATTATTGCCACGTTCTCCTTTGATTTTACAGGTAATTACTGATATTGCAAATTTTCTTTCATCCACATTCCGAGAAGGTACGTTTTTACATTAACTCATTATTTACAATACTCAATATTTGCTGAAAAAGCTAATATATATATTCCTTATTTAGAAAATCCTAATGATCCAAGAAGTTTAAAACGAAAATTTGATTGTATGTTTATACAATATATATGTATTTTTTTGTTTACATGTACAATAATGTTGTGGGCTAAACTAAAATACAGTCAAACCTCCCTAAGTGCACACTCTATAAATGCACGCTTTAAGTAAATCTTCTCTAAATGCACGGCATAGCTTGGCCCCAACTTTTAAGAGCACTATATAATTTGCTCTCTATAAACACACACCCTCTTCAAGTGCATATTTATGTTGGTTTTTTTTTATTGATCCCAACGAGGGTGCACTTAGAGAAGTTTGACTGTATTCGCCTTGGCGAAATTATTTTACTCTGGCAAAAAATATTTTTTGATTTTATTCGTCCTGGCGGAATAGTTCGGATTTGGAAACTAATTCGCCTGCAACATCAATATTTAACTTAATGTCATTCGATTGCTAATATTATAATTTTGTTTTTATAAAGTGGATTGTATACAAGCTGAAGTCGCAAAATTTGGACAAAATGATGTACCACCCTCATCATACCCTTCTATGATGCAATATCATCCTTCTAACTATCCTAGAGAAGGAATGCATCAAGCTCGATCAATGTCGACCCCACAACCTATGACTGGGGTTGAACCTTCCTCCTCTTATCATCATTCTCAAATATCTGATGTTGATTACCGTCCATCATCATACTCAGATTCAAGATCATCTAAAATCCCTTCACATAGTCCTTTGTCCATGTTACCGGATATTCCTTTTTCTCATTATCGTTCTAGCTCTAATTATATTCGGCATCGTTCTCTTGAACCGGTACCAAATCCAGGTCTTAGTAGAACTTTGTCTACTGATGCTTCTTACAGATCCTCAAAACCACCTACCAATTCGCATCATCCGCAATCTTCATCTCAGTATGTTCATCATAGTCCACATCGTTCGTCAACACTTCCGATTCTTACACAGTCTGTTAACTCATCGAATCGACGGGCATCGCATCCAAATACTTCTTTAAGTTTTGGTTCTGATAGTAATCTACTGAATCCTCCTGAAAACAATAGATACGAAAAAGATGATGACTCATCTTCCAAATCACAAAGGGTTCCTTTGTCTTCTTCTCCCCCATCAACTTCCTATACCAATTCTGAAAGTCCAATTGTTGCTAATTCCACAACAACACGACAAAGATCGCCTCCATTACCCGATCCCCCAGATAATGATGCGGAATATAATAATAAACGTTGTAAGAGAAATTAATCTATAGAGATAAGAAAAATGTACAGCCTTAAAAGTACTTTAACAGATGTTAATATGTATGTTATTTTTATTATGTTTTTTAATATAGAATTATTGTATGTTTATATTAATTTAATTCTCTTAATGTTGTGCTCTTTGATTGGACACCTCTATAAATATATATATCTTTGCAGCTAAAATCGTAATTAGATGTGAAAATTAGTGGTATAGGATTAGTTATCATTACGAAAAAAAAAATATCGTTGATTAGTCATCGAAGAATTTGCTTTGTAGCATGTGTTATAATCATGTATAATAAAGTCAAATATTACAAGTTAAATTTAATTCTTAATGGTTTGGATCTTTTAAAAAAATATATATACACTGTAATTTTAATAAAAATGATAATTCACAAGTTTTTTTGTGGCGCAAGTGAGGTTAGTCGCAACACGGCTCATCATGAGAAACTTTAACATTATATATATACATTACAACATACGTATATCTCGCATGAGCAAAGTAGTTAACATATGATGCAAGACTTTATTGGATGGTCTACGTACGTACGATTATTGGTGTTTCGCAGAATCGAACCGATGACCCGGATTCGGCATCCAGATCCATATTTCTTATTCTTCCCTGTTCAGATTTTTAAATGATTGGTTAAAAAACAAAAACTTTTATCTTTAAAATTTATTATTACGGTTGATATTAGGTCTCGATTTGAAAATAAGCTCTGCTAAAATCTACATATCGATTTACTTTTTAATTATAAATTCGCACCCAAAACCCTAATCCAATTTTAAATGATTTGTAAAAATACTTTTTTATAATCACATTTTATACGAACGCAGATAGTTGCTATAAAAGTCAAGATTAATATTTTTTTTCGCAAAGTGTAAAATGAAGAAACGTATTAATAAAATGTTATCCGATTGTATGAAAATTTCAGGATGTGTATTTTGATTTCCAGAACAACTTTTCTTATTTATAAAGATCAATTTATTTAGTAAATTTTGATTTTTATATACAACTATCTGCAATCATATGTAGATTTTTTTTAAATATGCTATCCCTTAAGCTGTAGAATTCGTGTAACAATTTTAGCTTAAAAATAGCATAAATTTAGTTATGATCTATTTTTTTTAATATTTAAAATATTTAAA